GGAATGGTTGAGGAGGCTCCCAAGAGCATGCTCCATTGTAGAAGTACCTTCTTCTTTTTGAAATTACTGAGTCACCTGTGGGGTGATATTTTGAGACCTGTGAAGTTCTTGCTCTTCAGCAGCTTTCAGTTAGTGATCTTAGCATCCATTGATAATCTTTGCTTGAATAAGTTTTTATGTGATGGTTGCAAAATGACAATTATCTGACTTTATCACTTCTGTAAGTGTATTTTCTGGCATTCTTTTCTTTAAACTGGAATATCTTATTTAATGTATTTTAACCTGATTTTCTCTTTATCATGTGCTCTCACTAGTGAGAGAGAGGAAGCCTCTCTCCCAATGGAGGAATGGTGACTTTGTAACCCATTAGTTTCTATTTCTCTACCCCATCAGAATTTTGGGCATGTATGCACACCCACCAGGTGTGTTTCTGAAGCTGCCAGGGCTAGGATTCTGCAGTTGACATATGGGATCCAGCCTCTGATGTACTGTAGTAACAAGCTGTCCCCGATGGCAGTTTTTAGAAAAGAAATGCCCTTCGTGTTTCCCTTTTCATTTGCTCTTTTGAGTGTCATTATGGAAACCTGGGGCGTTTTAATTCACTCCATTGTCATGAGGGAGACTCCAATTGCAGTCGAGCATAGAAGATCTGGCTCCCCCCACATAGTGCTCAGCTGCAGTGCTGTGGAGCCACCCCTTCCACGCCTCTTGCCCATGTTGGCTTCTTGTATTTTTCTATTTCCATCTACCCAAATCCCACCCAGCTTTTTAGGTTAACTTAAATCTCTAGAGCTTTTTGATCATCCTGCCCAGAAACTATCTCAATATCCATTAAACTAATATATCACTTAGATTCTGCTGATCATAAGGTTTTTTTCAAATTCAGTCTCTTTTCCTGTGTTCCTGGGTTCTTTTTTATATTACATCTTAGGAGTTCCTTTTTTTAAAAGAAATTACTTTATTTTTAACTTTATTTATCAGTTTATTACTTTGACCAGAGAGGGACAGAGCAAGACAGTGAGAGCGAGACAAAGAAGTGAGAAAGTGAGCCTCCAGGTCCAGGACTCGAACTGTGGTTGTTCATGTGGGATTCCAGCACCCTTAATCACCACACCACCTGCTGGCCCCTTACGAGTTCCTTTACAGGAGGGATCTTGTCTGTGTTTCTTTGCATCTTATCACCTTGTCTCTAGCACAGTCCACTGGTACAGATTATAATAGTAATAGGTACCAATGGAATATAAAAAAAAAGAAAAAAAATCTTAGAAGTATGTTTCCTCTTGGGAACCAGCAGTTAGCGTAATGGCTATGTCACTGGACTCCCACATAGTCGACCGCGGTTCGCGTCCCGGACCCGGTGGCTTAGAACTCATGCCGGGCACGTGTGTGTGCGTTCCCAAGATCCCGAGAGGAGAATGGAGAAGGGATTGCAGCGTGACCATCCCCCCTGGGGAGTGATTTCTCGCTTTCTGTCTCTCTGTCTCTCTCAGTCTGTCTGGCGAGCGCACGCGCCCTATAGCGAAAACCTCTCAAAAAAAAAAAAGTATGTTTCCTCTTTTAAAAAATTTAACTGAGTAACTCATCACCATTTAGTATTTAATATTTCAATGCATTTTTGGTCCAAAGCATATGTACTTTACCACAAGCAATTTAAACATACATGTCCCGCAAGCAATTTAAACATACATGTGACATGTACGTTTAAAATGCTTGTGGTAATAGTTATAACCAATCTACAACTTCCCTTAAATATGTGATTCATTTTCCATTTTTTGGCTACAAAAATGGAACAGTACAAATATTAGAAGTACTTGTTCTCATATTTGTTCTAATCTATATCAGTTTTATTCCTTCAACAGTTTGTGTATTGATTTGTTGTTCTTTTTTAAATTATTCTCCCAAATCAGTAGAAAAACTAACCAAAATTACATTACCAGGAATATGTCAAAGCTGGTGGCATTCTCCAGGAGGATATTTCTGAAGCTTGTTTAATTTTGGGAGTTAAAAGACCTCCAGAGGAAAAGTTAATGCCCAGGAAGACGTACGCCTTCTTTTCCCACACGATTAAAGCTCAGGAGGCCAACATGGGCTTGTTGGATGAGATTCTAAAACAGGTAATTAGTGATCAATATTTATAACTGTTAACAGAAAAATTTAGTATTTTTAAACTTTTAATTCTTGAGTGAAGTTTTACTTGTAGGATATGCATATTTATCTCAACAGGAAATGTGATGTATGAGTTAGTGCCTAGTTATGCTGCTCTTTAGGGATTTTCTGTGTGTTGGAGCTTATAAGAAGAATAAAACATGTTTTAGTTCTTTTATATTCTAAAATAGAATATGACAAAAGTCTTATCCCTAAATGATTACTATTTATAAATCAAATTGTGCAGAAACGACCAAACAGATTTTTTTTTTTTTTTTGAGAAGTTTTTGCTATAGGGTGCATGCGCTTGCCAGAGAGATAAAGAGAGACAGAGAGACAGAAAGCGAGAAATCACCCCCCAGGGGGATGGCCACGCCGCAATCCCTTCTCCTCCATTCTCCTCTCGGGATCTTGGGCACGCACACACACGCGCCCAGTGTGAGTTTTAAGCCACCGAGTCCGGGACGCGAATCTTGGTCGACTACATGGGAGCCCAGCTGTTATGCCAACTGCTGGTCCCAACCAAACAGAATTTTAGAAAAGAACATCACGAATCATGTAATCTGTCCTAATTTCTCATATGGAACCCAGAGAAGAGAAGTGACTTGACTGATGTTGCACAGCTCTGCAGTGCCAGAACTAGACTGGAGATGAGTTTGACACTTACTAAAGTTTATAAGAAAAAAACATTTTTTTTTGGAGATATAAATACTGTAGAAAAACTAGCAGGCTACAAATTAGAACAGTAACATGTACTAATTGAATCCCAAAAGTCAGGATATTATTTCAAAAAAATTTTCTGTAATATGCCTGTCTCTGTTCACTACAATAAAAGAGCAAAATGGTAAATTATTTCTGTCTTCTTAGAGCTTTCATTTTAGTGGAAAAAAGCAAATGAGAAATAAATAAGACAGGGACCAGTAGGTGGCATGGTGGTTAAGGTGCTGGACTCCCACATGGCCAACTGCAGTTTGAGTGTCAGATCTGGTGACTTGCCTTCTCACTCTCCCTCTCTCTCTGTCTGTCTCTCTCTGGTGGAATTGAACAATAATAATACATAAATAAAATTAAAAATAAATAAATAAATAAGACATACATCACTTGGTGATAGCATCATGGAGATAAATATAATGCTGACTTAGAAAGTGCTGGGCATTAGGGGAGGTGACAATGCTAGTTTAAATAGGGTCCAGCAGTTAGCGTAATGGCTATGTCACTGGACTCCCATGTAGTCTACTGTGGTTTGCATCCTGGATCCGGTGGCTTAAAACTCACACTGGGCACGTGTGCGTGCGTGCCCAAGATCCCGAGAGGAGAATGGAGGAGAAGGGATTGCGGCATGGCCATCCCCCCTGGGGGGTGATTTCTCGCTTTCTGTCTCTCTGTCTCTCTCTCTCTGTCTGGCGAGCGCATGTGCCCTATAGCAAAAACCTCTCAAAAAAAAAAAAAAAGTAAAAATAGGGTAGCTAGGGAGGATCATTGTTAGGATGGCATTTAAGCAATAATCTAAAGAAGGTGAAGGACTAAGCCATTTCTCAGCCAGTTTGAGAGCCATTTTGAGCAGAGTTAGGGTAGATTACCTTCTAAAATGCTTATTCTGTCTGTTGTATGCATAATAGTTGGAGGTTGGAGGAGAAAGCAAAGTTGATAAGACTGTTAGTTTAGGTCAGTGTAGACTCCCAGCCACAAATGATGCTGATCTGTGCATATTGGTGGAAATGGAGGTTGTGATACAAGAACAAACTGGCTGTATTTTAGAGTGAATCCTATAGGAGTCACTGGTGAAATAGAAGGCAAAATATGAAAAAAGGAGAGAAGTCAATGATGATTCCAAGCTTTTGATCTGAGCATCTCACTCCAAAGGATCCTGTTCTATAGTCAATAAACCCCGTTATATATCACCATCCCTTGCTAATTCAGCCTATCTACCACCATCCCTGAAGAGGAAAAATAATAAGCTCAACTAACTACATACAAAAGTTAGGTCAAGATGTAGTCTATGGGATGGAAAACAATGGACTACATTTGCTAACATAGAAAAATACTTCACGTTAACTTCTATGAAACTTAGAAGTTCAAGGAAGACTTAGCAGTAAATTGAGAACAGAAGAAGTCGCCATAGATTGTGATGTTGTTATTGAAAGAGGAGCAGGCTTGAACGAGAAGGTCAAGAGTTGAGTTGAGGAACCTTTGAGTTTACTGTGACATTGTGGATTTAAGAGCAGAAGCTAAGTTGGCTTTTGGATGTAAGGCTGAAGCCCAAGAGGGCAGTTCCTGACACACGTTTTGTAGTTGTCAGAGACTAGAGGGGCTCTAAACCTGTGAGATGGGATGAGTGTATAGAGTAAGTGTAGATAAAGAAGTTGTCCAAGGTGCACGTTCTGGGGGAAGGATGTTAGAGCATTAGAATCTGAGTCTAGGGTAGAGAAAAGGAGAGCTCACAAACAATAAAAGCAATGGAGAAAAAATATATTTTATATCAGAGTACAGAATACTTTCCTATTAATTGTAGATACATGATAGACCTGGGCAGTAGTTAATTTTCAGTGTTTTGAAGAACTTATTCAAAAGTAATTAATGGAAATAATATTATAAGTAGGATGTTTCATCTTAACAGGTCAACTCTTTTAAAAATACTTTGGGAATTTTTTCTTTTTTTTTTTTTTATGCACTTCATTTGTTACCAGAAAATTAATAAAGACAGATGCAACAGGGCTGCTTTTGGGCAGCATTTTGTAACTGAGTACTTGAAATTGGATGGATGAATGTGAAACATTCTTAAATTCATGAACATGATAAGTCTATGATCTTTGAGAAAATAAAATGATTATTTAAAACATTCTATAATTACAATGCATCAATAACATTCAAACATGAATTAATAAGGCTTTCCCAAGAGAGAGGAAAGGTTTCCAAGAAATGTGTTTCTACTGAAAGTGAGGAAAAGAAGGGCAGGTAGTATGTACTTCTTCTTCTTCTGTTTAAAAATATTTATTTATTTATTTAATTCCATTTGTTATTATTATGTTTTAATTTGACCAGAGAGAGAGAGAGAGAGAGAGAGAAAGCAAGAAAACAAGCTGCCTGGTCTGGGACTCAAACTATGTTCGGCCATGTGAGAGTCCAGTGTCCCAACCACCATGCCTCCTGCTGGCTCCAATAGGTACTGCTTTTAAATGAAGTTTGCCTATAAAGGGATGTAGAAGGATTAGTTTTACACTGAGGGATTAGTCTCAGAAGGGATCTTTTTTATTGGAGACCAGAGAAAGGATGTGAGGACAAATTAGGCTGTAGACGTATTTGTAGATGATGCTGTGTGGCTTGGGTGGCCAAAAAGCTAGAAGGAATCCTGCCTTTACTATTTCATTGGCTACCATTAAGAGGCATTTAGTCCCTGCAAGGACTATCCTTTCTTCTCTAGTTACGAACCCACAGTTGGTTTGTGGCCTGACACTTTGTAAATATCTCTTGGTATATCTGATGGTAACTTAAGCTAGCAAGTCAAGACATATTTAAGAGAAAAGAAATGTGAACCATGTACTTGCTTTTATATGTTCTCTACTCATTTCAATTAAGCTGGATAGGTCTGGTTTTGAAAATTTTCATTGTTTCTTCAGGAAATACGACTTATTGATTATGAGAAAATGGTGGATCATAGAGGAACACGGGTAGTGGCATTTGGACAGTGGGCAGGTGTGGCAGGTAAGTATGCTAAGGCTTTTATATCACCCATTTTCTTTCTTTTTTTCTTTCTTTTTTGAGAGGTTTTTTAGCTATAGGGCATGTGTGCTTGCCAGACAGACAGAGAGAGACAGAGAGATAGAAAGCAGGAAATTACCCCCCAGGGGAGATGGCCACGCTGCAATCCCTTCTTCTCCATTCTCCTCTCGGGATCTTGGGCACGCACGTACACTTGCCCGGCGTGAGTTTTAAGCCACTGGGTCCAGGACTTGAACCGCAGTCGATTACATGGGAGCCCAGCGACATAGCCATTACACAAACTGCTGGTCCCTACATCACCCACTTTCTAAATTTGCTTAGAGAGTGACTGGATTTTCTCTTTTCAGTGGCAAGAGGATGGGAATATTTAGTCCCGCTGATAAAAATTAAAATGGGAATATGTTGAAGGGTAATCAGATATCAGACCATTAAAGCAGGACAATAAATTGTCAAAATAGTTTATGATAAAAATTAAAAAGAAAAAGGACAAGGAGATACATAATAACTACAAAGGGTCTCTGGCTTTTTAGGTAGTTCCATTGGAGAGCTCAGTTTAGTAATGAGACATGGGGAAGTAGAAGACAGAGAAAAAGAAAACAATGAACAAGGTACAGGGACAGGAACTGAGAGAGGAACAGTTAGACAGGACAAGTGCTGGACTTTGAGAAAAAAAACTCTATGATTTTTGTCTTAGCTAGTACTTTGAACCTCATTTAGTTGCAAAACACTACAATATGCTACAGCTCCCTAGCACGTTAGACTGCCTAACTGTCTTACAAGAAAGGTATTTTGGCATCGTTTGGCCTTGGTAGGTAAAAGTGGAAGATTCCTCATTGTGGTTTTTGTCACTGCTATTTCATCTTGACCATTCCGCCTTCCCATCCTTGGGATTACATTTTTATTCAACTGCATTTACCATAAAGTATAGTTGTTAGTATCATGTTATTAGTTGTGTAAAAAATAAAATTATTGGGAACCAGCAGTTAGCGTAATGGCTATGTCACTGGACTCCCATGTAGTCGACCGCGGTTCGCGTCCCGGACCTGGTGGCTTAAAACTCACATCGGGCGCGTGTGTGTGCGTGCCCAAGATCCCGAGAAGAGAATGGAGAAGGGATTGCGGCGTGACCATCCCCCCTGGGGGGTGATTTCTCGCTTTCTGTCTCTATGTCTCTCTCTGTCTGGCGAGTGCATGCGCCCTATAGTGAAAACCTCTCCAATAAATAAATAAATAAATAAATAAATAAATAAAATTATTTGGAATCCTAAAATAATTTTTACAGATTTACGCTCCTTCTTTTTCTACGGTTCGTTTAAAAATTCCCAGTCAAATATTTTGGAAAAATCTTGAAAATATGACATACTTTTAGAAATGAACCATATTAGGGGACCAGTGGATGGCATAATGATTACATCACTGGACTCCCATGTAGTAGACCGTGGTTTGAGTTCCAGACCTGGTGGCCTAAAACTCATGCTGAGATGTGTGTGCGTGTGTGTCCAAAATCCTGAGAGGAGAGCAGAGGAGTAGGGATTGCAGCATGGTCATCCCCCTGGGCATTGGTTTCTCACTTTCTGTCTCTCTGACTCTCAGGTGGGCACATGTGCCCTATAGCAAAAGCCTCTTAAAGAAAAAAAAGGAAATGAATCATATTAGAAAAGTTATGAATTTTACCCTAATATAACACCCTAATCCACTTGCATCTGAAATAGTAAAGAAATCTAATACACATAGTTAGATAGAAAAAACCAGTTCAAGAGTTCTATTGAATAGCATGGTGTACAGCAAAATTTGAAGTTCATGAAATTCTTTTCACTTAAAATCAAGTGATATAGTTAACGACAACATACTATATTCTTTTTTTTAAAATTTTTTTTTAAAGTTTTTGCTATAGGGCGCGTGCGCTCGCCAGCAGACAGAGAGACAGAGAGATAGAAAGTGAGAAATCACCCGCCAGGGAGGATGGCCACGCTGCAATCCTTTCTCCTCCATTCTCTTCTCGGGATCTTCGGTACGCACGCACATGCGCCCGGCGTGAGTTTTAAGCCACCAGGTCCGGGACTCAAACCATGGTCGACTTCATGGGAGTCGAGCAACATAGCCATTACACTAACTGCTGGTCCCAACATACTATAGTCTTAAAAAATGCTAAAAGGGTGGATGCTAAGTGTTCTACCCACATATATAATAATGATGTGAGATCATTTATTTGCTAAATAGATAGATATAATTATTCCATAGTGTGTGTATATGTATTTTTATTTTTCTAAATTGCCAGAGGGCATTGCATTCATCAGACAGAGAGAGAGGGGAAGAGAGAGAACAAAAAAGCAGCCCCTAATAGCGTGATCATACCATAATATTCTTCCCCTCGTTTCTCCGTCCCATTAAGATTTTGGACATGCACATGTGCCTGGCGTGTTTTTCAAACTGCTGGGGCCAAGATTCAAACTGTAGTTGTCCATATGGGGTCCAACTCCTAATGCACAGTGCTTAACCACCACACTGTGGAGTCAGCCCAGTGTATATATATTTCAGTACATCATCTTGTACATGATAAATACATAAAATTTCATGTCAGTTTAAAAAATAAATACACTGGGGGCCAGCAGGTGGGACTGGATGCCCACATAATCAACTGCAGTTTGAGTCCCAGACCTGGCGGCATGAAAAACACACCAGACCCTGTGCATGTGTGCCTAAAATCCAAGGAGGAGCATGAAGGAGAAGGAATTGCAGCGTAGCCATCTTTCTCACTTTTCCTCTCCCCATCTCTATCTGTCTCTCTCCAGCACATGCCCTATGGCAAAAACCTTAAACATAAATAAATGAATAAATAAATAACTACATAAAAAAACCTAAATCTATACAAACTTGAAGCTTATAAAATTCTTTGCACTTAAAATCAATTCATGTTTCCTTTTTAAGAAAGAATTATTTTATTTAACTTTATTTATGTATTTATTTTAATTTGACCAGAAAGGAAGAGAGAGAGAGAGAGAGTGAGAAATCTGCCAGCTGGGACTTGAACCGTGGTCAGTCATGTGGGAGTCCAGCATCCTTAACCACCATGCCAACTGCAGGCCCTAATTCATGTTTTTAATATTAACCCCAATCTTAAAACTTGCCTCACATAAATAATCTCTATTCAAGTATCATAAAATTAAACTTCTTAATATGGAAGGAATGATGGCTGTGGTTCCCAGGACTCACACAGATGGGGATTTTGTTTATCTGGAGAGAATGAATTCATCAGAGAACTAAGTTGATTCACTCAGAAGTCACTGCACTCAGAAGGAGTGCACATTTGTGAATAGAATGTGTCTCTTGCTCTTAGAAAAGTATTCAGACAAGTAAACGCACAAGCACAATGTGAAGCTAATCGCTATAGGAAGGCATTTGAGTGGACTTGGCTGCTAGAGAAGCTTCTTTTAAAAGTGCTTTAAAAAAGAAGCTGAGATCCAAAGAGTGATTAAACACTGTTCAAGATTCGAGGGAGAGGGAGAGGAGAAGTGTGCAAAGCCCAAAGGGGAGAGAGGAGAAAGAATAATTTTGAGAAGTAGAAATCAGTTCAGTATACTTACAGTGTAGACACAGAGAGGGGTATAGGGCTTTGAGACATTTTTGAAATGTAGAATTCATGGGCTCTAGTGATTGGCTGGAGGTAGAACTGAGGGGGTCACTAGTAAGGTGAGTCCCAAGGTAGTACCTTGGACAGTGGTTCAGTTCTGGTACCTACAGAATAGAAAAAGAATTTAGAAGAAGATAGCAAATGAGATTAGCATAGGGGAAAATATTCATAGAGTATAAGCTAATTTGCTGTAGTGAAGAGACCCCATAAAACAGTAGCTCAAGTAAGACATCCCAAGGTGAGAGGTCTAGGGAAGCTCTGCTGTTGTCAGTATGTGGCTTTCAGTTCCAAGGTGGCCATTCTATTGTTGCTATTTCCTTGTCAGTGTGAAAAAAAAAAAAATGTGGAGGCCAGCGGCTTCCTCTTTTCTTTTCTTTTCTTTTTTTCTTTTCTTTTCTTTTCTTTTCTTTTCTTTTCTTTTCTTTTCTTTTCTTTTCTTTTCTTTTCTTTTCTTTTCATTTCATTTCATTTCATTTCATTTCATTTCATTTCATTTCATTTTCTTCCATACATTCAATCACATCATTGTTTGTTTTACAAAATGGGTATTTCAACAGGTGAACATTTCTCCCTAGTACTGTTGATAAAACTACGCAGCTTCCTTTTAAAGGAATTCGAACATATCAATTCTGCTCACACTCAGTGGTTAAAATTGATTGAGAAGTGTAATCCACAGCTGGGCAACATATGTCCAGCTTAATCCATGTGGTCTGCTTCTATTTATGAAGGATTAATAGGATCCAGGCTTCATATGTGCCCTAAATAATGATATAATTGGATGAGGTATGTAAAATAACGTTGTCAGACATAGGATAAGAGGCAATACAGGACTGTGATCCCAGAGAGATGGGAAATACATGAGGTGAGTTCTATGAGCACCCTGGCTTTCTACCCGGAGAAATTTCTGGAGAGTGTGGGTATGGAAAGGTGACATGAAGCCTAGTGGACTTTTTGAGTTGAGGAGACACAGATAGGACCTGGGGAGCCTGAAGTGACTAGAGTTGGCAATATATGGCACCAAACAGGAAGGAGCAATGCAGAAATAACTTTCCAGAAATATGTTAGGGGTCCTGTTGAGAGGAAGGTGGAAATTGATGAGCGTGCTGAAGGAGAGATTTGAGGGAAGAACAATTACCAGGGAACTCCATGCCAAATGGTTCCCAGAGTTTGTCCCATTGGCCAGAGTGGAGAGATTTCACTAAAGACATGGGATACTGAGGAAAGACCTAAACACCGCAGCTTATCGAGCTCTTAAGAAAGACTACTCTGAACTCAACTTTATAAGCTTGAAAATGAGCCTTAAAGCCTGAGAGAGATGGAATTAGCAGATAAGGTAACCAAAACAGCTGTC